GGACGTGGCATGATACTAGTCACGTGATCTCCGCTGACGCAACAATATGAAAATAAGTTTTTTTGGATCTCAAGTAATATCAACATTAAGGACAGGAAAGACTAACAGCTATTTGGGACCTCGCGCTATTCCAAACAACAACAATATATATATATATATATATATATACTTAATTTTTCTATCTTAATCGCACAATTAATAAAGACATGGACCTCGTGACACCTTTCGACTGCACTGGTGAGTTAAAATGACATTTAAACTAAAACGTAGGAATTATTTGTATCACTCGCAAAAGCGCAACAAAATACGTGGTATTTAAATACTTAAAATACCATTTAAGCTCGTAATATGAGCTTTAACTTTTAATAAAAACGTTCGTTGGAAACCTCCCCGCCATCGTGTCTTAACTGCTGCTTGTGTACTCTGGTTGCTAAGGCCGACACTGATACCAAGTGTAACAATGAATTTCAATAACCTACACATTGATGCCTTTTAGATTGTTTTATATGATGATAATTTCTTCAAACTACAGGTGTCGACCTAGCGGTTACGGAAGGGTCTCAAGGTTGTTTCACTATTCATACTTTTATCTTGAAAATAAACTGTGTTGAACTATATTATCCCAGCAAGAAATATCCTCAATTTATCTTTTTCTGAACGCTTGAAATTTGGAGGTGAGGTCGTAAATTGCTCAGATCCATGAAAGGAGGGGTCACAGTAGTGCTAAAAATGTTTGATAGCTCCTGTTTAAAGATATCAAGTATAAAAATAACTTTCTCATACGGTATTTTATGTATCTCTTTGAGATTTTGGTGTATGAAAATAACACTCCAAAATTTTACGTGTAACAGTTACTATCTTTCAGAGTGAAGTGTGTGATAGAAACATTTTTGAGTGCCAAGTGTAACGATAACTCCTGGAGTGCCGTTTACATCCATGTCATTCCGAATCTTGTTTCTACAAATGGTATTTGAAAATGCTATGTGTAACAACAATTTTCTAGTGTGATGTTTATAACGATATATTTGAAGTTGTCATTTATGAGATAACTTTCAGAATGTTAAGTTTAACAATTACTTTAAATTACTGTGGTTTTGAATGTGAAAATGACAAGTCGTTTACTTTCTCAAACAGCGTGTCTAGCTCGACTTTCTAGAATGAACTATTAAGAGTAACACTCGAGAATGTTGGGTATAAAGAAGATATTTTAGAACATCCAATCTTGTACTATTATGACGGTTCGAAAAATAGCTAAAAGTGATAGGTGTTATTGCTTATTTAGTACAAAGCTCTGTCATCGCGGAGAATCGAGCCCCGAATGTTAACGTTGTAAGTCCGTATACTTACTGTAATAGTGTAACTTGTCTTGCGAGATGGTGGTTGGAAAGCTTGCAGATAATTAACTAGACATCAGAGTTGACTCGTGTCTTTATGTACCTCATCTATACGGACATCAGAGTTGACTCGTATCTTTATGTACCTCATCTATACGGACATCGGAGTTGACTTGTACCTTTATGTCACATCATCTACACGAACTACAAAGTTGACTCGTGCCTTTATGTACATCATCTATACGGACATCAGAGTTGACTCGTGCCTTTATGTACATCATCTATACGGACATCAGAGTTGACTCGTACCTTTATGTACCTCATCTATACGGACATCAAAGTTGACTCGTGCCTTTATGTACCTCATCTATACGGACATCAGAGTTGACTCGTACCTTTATGTACATCATATATACAGACATCAGAGTTGACTCGTACCTTTATGTACCTCATCTACACGAACTACAAAGTTGACTCGTGCCTTTATGTACCTCATCTATACGGACATCAGAGTTGACTCGTACCTTTATGTACATCATTTACACGAACTACAAAGTTGACTCGTGCCTTTATGTACCTCATCTATACGGACATCAGAGTTGACTCGTACCTTTATGTACATCATATATACAGACATCAGAGTTGACTCGTACCTTTATATACATCATATATACAGACATCAGAGTTGACTCGTACCTTTATGTACATCATCTACACGAACTACAAAGTTGACTTGTGCCTTTATGTACCTCATCTCTACGGATATCAGAGTTGACTCGTACCTTTATGTACATCATATATACAGACATCAGAGTTGACTCGTACCTTTATGTACATCATCTATACGGACAACGAAGTTGACACGTGCCTTTATGTATCTCATCTATACAGACATCAGAGTTGACTCGTACCTTTATGTACATCATCTATACGGACATCAGAGTTGCCTCGTACCTTTATGTACATCATCTATACGGACATCAGAGTTGCCTCATACCTTTATGTACCTTATCCATACGAACAACAAAGTTTACTCGTGCCTTTATGTACCTCATCTATACGAACAACAAAGTTGACTCATACCTTTGTATACATCATCTATAAGGATGCCAGAGTTAATTTGTATCTTTACGTACATCATATATACAGATATCAGAGTTAACTCCTGCCTTTATGTACAACATCTACACGGACATCAGAGTTAACTCCTATCTTTATGTACATCATCTACATGGACATCAGAGTTAAATCGTGCCTTTATGTACATCATCTACATGGACATCAGAGTTAAATCGTGCCTTTACTTGTTCTATAGATTCACGTCATGAAATTGTCGCAATATCAATAAAAACACTTTATGCTGATAGTTTTGATGATATTTTAAACTTTATCAGCAAGATCTTCCTACTCAGTTATTAAATCCTTGTCCAAAAAGGTGGTTTATTTATTTTTTGTTGTAGTGCTTTATAAGTCAGCCTTATTACACGCTGTATAGAATCATTCTAATTGGATAAGTTTAAACGTAAACAACTATTGAAGACCTTTAAAGAACTGATCACGTTGAACGTCTCAAAATTATAGGAATAGGATTGTTTGTTTTGAAATTAAGCACAAAGCTACACAAAGGGCTATCTGTGCTCTGCCCACCACGGGTATCGAAACCCGATTTCTAGCGTTGTAAGTCCGCAGACATACCGCTGTGCTACTGGGGGGCTAGGAATAGGAGGTTCTATACAAAAATTTAATTCGACTGCAGCAACTTACTGTAAGTGAAAGTGTAAATATTTCAACTGGCTTCATAATGCACACGTAATGCCTTTTGAGCAGTAATTACCCATGTAATGTTCAGTAATGCCCCTTACTAAGCCTGTGAACTAGGATAAAAGAAGTAGTCAGTAAGGTGTTTAATCAGTGTTTACCACTAAAAATGATAGGAGTTCAAACCTAATTAAATGAGAATTATAAAATAGATATACAGCATTTGGAACCAAGCTCTAAATTAGGTTATTACAATCACTTGCGTCTCCACGATTAAAATTTGTAATTTTTACCCAGGTGTCACGATAACCCAAGGTAAACGGAAACCGTCATTCGACTGTCCGGAGGAATTCGGCTCTTTCCCCGACAAAGAAGACTGCACTAAGTACTATGTCTGTGTCTTTGGAGAAGTCAATCCCGAGAGATGCTCTGGTGGTCTGATGTTCAACACAGAACTCGAAACATGTGACTGGCAACGTAACATAGAGGTAGATTGTCGTGGTAACAGAGGTAAGGATTTGCTTGTCGCTGTGCTTTAATTAGTCCTAATGAAAATTAGCTGGTCGTCTTTCTGCTTAAGATAAAATTTGGTCTTGATCTAGGTTTTGTAAACTTCAAAGGCTTAATATTACATAATTTTCCTGTTTCGAAAACTACAAAGCATTCTCCATTTATACAAATATATTAGCTGACCTACTTAACTAACGTATAATTAGTTCTGTCTGTACACATAAACAGCCTATTCAGTCTGTAGATCTGCATAACCTGTTCTTTCTGCACATCTTAATAACCTGTTCAGCCTGTACGTCTACATAACCTGTTCTATCTACACATATAAATAACCTGTTTAATCTGCTCATCCATATAGCCTGTACATAACCTGTTAAGCCTGTACACCTAATAACCTGTTCTGTCTGTACATCTGCATAACCTGTCATCGATGCACACCTAGTAACTAGTTTTGTCTGTATATTTACATAAACTTTCACGTATATGTATTTACATAATCTGTTCTGTGTAGCAACTATATAATTTCTCTTCTTCGTATAGCTAAATAACACCCTCATGTTAGCAAATGCATAACGTGCCTGGTTTATAAAAGCTATATTTTATTTCTACGAGTGTAAACTTTCCTAATTTTACACCTTAACAACATCAATTTGCAAAGATGCCCTATTTCTTCTTTTTGTACATCTACATAACATCTCAGCGTATAAAGCTACATAGTCTTCTCATTTTGTACAACTAAATAATCTCAGTTTGTTCAACTACGTAATCTGTTCAGTTTGCATAACCACAAAATCTTAGTTTGTTCAACTACGTAATCTGTTCAGTTTGCATAACCACATAATCTCAGTTTGTACAGCTACGCAATCTAAGTTTGTAAAACTACATACTCTCAGTTTGTACATCTACATAATACTCTCAGTTTGTACAACTACATAATCTCTTTAGGCCTTACAACTGCATAAGCGTTCTTCTCAAATCCCAAATTGGTGTGGACTTCAGAAACAAAGGGATGAATATAATAACAGAATATTAAGAAAACTAATTACTTAATAAGTCAAAGCTGGATTCGGTGAAGTAAAAACGAAAAGTAGTTACAATTGCATGTTATTAGGTAGTTGCTAAGATTTTAATGCTACAACCAATAAATTCAAGGTATGAATAAATAAATAAAATACTTTGTATTTCCAAACCTCTGTGTTCCTTAACGGTTTGTGCATTTTGCTATCTCTACAATATCAGAGCTGTTAGAAATTTGTATTCAGGAGGTCCTGTTTCTTTTTGCTTAGATTTCTTAGTGACTTTATTTGAAGATGAATTTCCGTTATGACATTTATTTGAATAAGTCCTTTATGTATCATAATAATCCTTTAGGACATACTGACGAGAAGTTGTACTTGCATCATCTTATTTTAGTACAATGATGCTACCATGACGTTAAAAATTGTTCGTGAAGATGTTTGTTCTATTTTGAGCAAAACTACATGAGGGTTATCTGTGCTAGTTCCTAATTTTGAAGTAGTAAATTGGAGAGAAGGCAGCTGTCAACACCACCCACCACCAACTCTTGTACTACTCCTTTATCAATGAATAGTGGGATTGTCTGTTATATTATAATGCCTTCCATGGTTAAAAAGGCGAGCATGTTCGATGATGTTATTCGAACCCACGACCCGCAGATTGCGAGTCGAGTGACCTAACGACAAGGCGATTCGTGAAGATATATAGCATTACAACAGTGTAATTTGTTAATGTTTTTGATAGAAATACTAACTGCAAAAGATCTAACAAACTCAAGTGATTGTAAAAAGTGTAAATGTAGAAAATTAAACACCAGCACAAAGATCCAAAAGTAAAAAGGAAGACGAACTGCAGATTCTCGTGTAGCTCTCTGGCCTCTGTTGTTGAATGAACATTTTTGTTTTCTTGTAAAGTTATTCTGAATTTTAGAGAGTCGATACGAAACTACGAAACTTATCCATTATCAAGCCAAATTCACAATCAGAGTTGAAAATATATAAAATTTAGGGTGCAATTAATAAAGTTAAAAATCGTTCATAAAAACATTTTATTTTTCAAATTGCAGGCAAGGTCCATTAAAGGAGTTTCTGTAACTCATAGTAGTTGAGGTTTTATTGACGACCAGAGAATAACTTACAACTGAGTTAATACTAATACTTAATGCTAACAAAACTCCCCACTTGTATTTTCAAATGTTTGATTCAGTCGCTGCTCACAGCAGATCACTTAATTAAGAAAACAGAGATGTGAACATTGATGTTACATTTTGTCCATTAACCACTAGACAGTCGATATTTTGTTTTTGTAATAAGTTGACAAAACTTGTACACATTAATAGAACTTTTTTGTAATATTTAGTGGGCACTGATCAAGACGGCGAAAATGGAGAGGAATTTTTTAGCCGAAGGCAGCCAGATAGCCTTAGGCTTCAAAGCCAACCACGTACACAGGCTGCAACTTCCACGCCAGACATTACTCCCCCGAAAATTAATTTCCCGCCTCGTACAAACACAAGACTTAGACAACCGATCTTATCTAACGAAAGGCTCCACACACCTAAGGCTGATACTAGATCAAGGTTCAGTATACCTCAACCAGATACTGACTCCAGGCTTAACAGAGTGTCTTCAGCTCCTGTTTCAAGATCTAGCAGACCTGAAACAGCCACTGACAACAAGTCAAACAGATCGCCACCAGATTTTTACCCTAGATTCAATAGACCAGCCCAAACTGGTGAATCCAGGTTAAACAGACCAGCTCCAGCTGAAAATCTCAGATTTAGTAGGCCAGTTCCAGCTGTTGAATCCAGGTTCAACAAACCAACTTCAGATGACTCTAGATTCAACCAAGCAGCTCCAGCCACTGACTATAGATCCAATAGACCTATTGCTGGTGACGGCATCAAGTTTGATAGGCCAGCTATAGAAACTGATTCCAGGCAAAGTAGAACATCTTCAGTCACCGAATCTAGGTTCCAAATTCCATCTTCAGCTAATTACGCCAAGCTCAATAGACCCAGACCAGATACTGGCTCCATGTATAAGGCACCAGCTCCAGCTCCAACCAGGGACTCTAGGTATAACAGACCTGCTCTTGAAAATTCGGACTCCGATGTTTACGACTACGATGTTGATGAACCAGAATATGAAGACGAGTACAATTATTTTGTGAAACCAGTAAACTTTAAAGATAAAAAGTCCAACGACGATCAAGAGAACGCCAGAAATGATCGTCAGTGGGGATCTGATATGTTGGTGCCAAATACACAAGATAACAGTGACGCTGAAGCTCCTCCTATTTTCGCGTTTAGAAAACCTAACCAATATAGCCTCCCTTTCCGTCCTCCCGCTTTGAGAGCTCCTAGTGATAACGAAAGAAGTAGGGAGATTGGTCCCCCCTACAGCCGGGACAATGGTGAGGAGCGAGTAATCACTTTAGTTAGAACTAGGACAAGAGACCAAAATCCACACCCGACAAGCAATCGAAACCGTAAGGTAGTTCTCATTCGAAGGAATAAACAGCAGTCTAGCAATGAGGAAGTGAAACGTCCAACAAAGGTTGCTGTTATCTATAACAACCGAGACGAGCTTGACGTTCCCAGCCAAGGTCTAGACCCTCTGGATGCACAGTTTGGAACTAACCCTAGATATGTAACAAGGCCAGAGGTTTATCCCCAGCAATCTTTAAGGCGTCCATCAGACAACAAATTTTCCTCTAATAGGCGCTATCGCCCATATAGTGAGAAAGACGACTCTCTTCCGGATACCACCAAGTCACGATACTCTTCAGCCATAAGTTCTGCCAAGCCATACAATATTTATGACCAACCATACAATTACGACTACGACTATGAAGAGGAATACGAGGTTACAACATCAAAACCATTGATTAGATCCAGGTTTCAGTCTCCTCGAAAATATCAAAGAAACAACCAAGTTGTTGCCGTTACAACAACATCCTCTACAACCACCACCACCACTCAGCCACCAACTACCCGGCAAACAAATTTTCCTCAAAGACGCCTACCCGTCGGATTCGTCAGACCGGCAACCAAATCTCCAGATGACGTGGTAACTACCCCAGCTAGTTTTCCTGCACGACCTCCTTCCGTGCACCCCACGCCACAACCTTATCTCCCCGCTGAAGCATGCAAATCTAATAAATGTCTACTGCCAGACTGTCGATGCGGAGGATCCGAGGTTCCTGAAGGGCTCTCTCCAAAAGATATTCCTCAGATCGTCTTGTTAACCTTTGACGATGGTATCAATGACCTTAATTCTGATATTTACAAAGAAATCTTTACAGGAAGAACAAATCCTAACGGGTGTCCAATTTTAGGAACTTTCTACGTGTCTCACGAATGGACCGACTATGGTAGAGTACAGACGCTTTACTCTCAAGGTCATGAGATGGCATCACATACAATAAGGTAGGTAACGCATGAGACGCTAGAAGATAAAAATCAAATTTAGATAAATAGAGGTGGAAACACAGTTAAGCATCTGTTAAGGTTAAGGTTAACAATTTTTATAAGGACAATATTAAATTTTAAGGTATATCCATTACATAGTTGCTACAATCTCTAAACCTTGTCTTGCTTCTTAATCCCCGTTATGTGAATTACAGTAAACACAATATACATTCTATAATTTGTTATTCCTATGGGCACCCGCAGGAAGGGGCATTTGCCCCCTTACATTTCACAAAAAATACGCGTATTATGGTGTAAATTTAACAACATAGTTAAACTAATTATTTTAAGCAGTTTTATTAAAACTGTAAATTTGTGTTTGCATTTAAGCACACATAACACATATTCTTTTAGTCTGTTGACTTACACTGTAAAAGTTGATCCCATACATACATATTTTGATCCCCCCCTAAAATATTTCTGTGGGCGCCCATGGTGATTCCTTCATGTTTCATCATCTAATATTCATTCTTAATCCTTATTAGGAAATTTTCGGTAAACACATTATACATTCTATAAAGTGTAATCCCTTCATGTTTTGGATAGCGGTAAGTTTACGGACTTACAACGCTAAGTTCCGGGATTCGATTCCCCGAAGCGGACATAGCAGATAGCCCAATGTGACAAACAAACAAATCTTCAAGTTTTATAACCCACTATGCTTCCTTAATTCTTATTAAAGGAATTTAGTAAACAGAGTATGCATTATATATATAACGTGGTGTCATTCCTTCATGTTTTATAATTTAACCTTTCTTTTTAATTCTCATCAAGTAAGTTTTATTAAATACAGTGTACATTCTATAACTTGTAATTCTTTTATATTTTAAAAGTTGGTTTTCCATGTTAATCTTCATTAGGGTAAATTTATTAAGCATATTGCACATTCTATAACCTGCATGTTTTACAGTCTAGTCTTCCTTCATGATCCCCATTGTGGGAATTATATTAAATATAATACATTGTATGCATCCTATAACTTTTCACTCCTTTACCTCGGTCAATGTAATCGTTTTTACAGTCTTTAATTATTTTAGTAAACACAAAATATGTTATATATATCATACATTCAACTGAGAATTAAATTTTATTTTTCTTGGGATTCCCTCTTTTAGTTCATATGTTCCTATTGTTTCATTTTTGGTCAAACTTTCTATTCAATACTGAGGACTATGATTTAAGAATACGTTTTTCTACAGCATTTTGTTTTTTGTAAACACTTCAAAATTGTATACACATACACTTCTTTTGAAACTGTGAAAATATGACTTCCTTTTCACTGTTGGCTAACTTTCTGTTGTTTTTTTATTAGCCATAGTTTTGGAGAGAAGTTCTCTAAGTCTAAATGGCTGAAAGAAGTTGCAGGCCAACGAGAAATTCTCCATTTATATGGAGGAGTCAAACTGGAGGACGTCCGAGGGATGAGAGCCCCTTTCTTGCAAAGTGGTGGAAACAACATGTTCCAGATGCTTCACGAGGCCAACTTCACTTACGATTCTTCCTTGCCAGTATATCAACACAACCCTCCATTCTGGCCCTACACCTTTGACTACTCCATTAACCACGAGTGTGCTATTCCACCATGTCCAACAAAGTCCTTCCCGGGGTTGTGGGAAGTAGGGATGGTAATGTGGGACGATCTGAGAGGTGGCCGCTGTTCCATGGTTGACGCCTGTGCTAGCCCACCAGATGAAGAGGGAGTTATTGAGTTCCTTTCTAAGAACTTCTATCGCCACTACGATTCCAACCGGGCTCCATTTGGTCTATTCTACCATTCAGCCTGGTTCAATGCACCTCATCGCAGAAAAGGATTTATTAAATTTTTGAATGAGATCAACAGTAAGGACGACGTTTGGATTATTACCAACTGGCAGATGTTACAGTGGATGAGAGACCCAACCCCTATTTCAAAGATTGCACAGTTCGAGCCGTGGAAGTGTAACAGAAAGGACCTACCCCCACCGTGTCACCGGCCCAAGTCGTGTGAAGTATCTCACAAAGGTTCAACTCGCTACATGAACACTTGTCAGAGATGTCCAGCTGTTTATCCCTGGGTCGGCAAAACTGGATTTTAGAAACCGAGCTGAACATCAGCATGCAACAGCCATACAACAATTCCTCATGGTGGTATAATACTACCTGTATGGAAAATCTTTTTACTTGAGTATCCCTATATTTTCTACAAACATTACACGACATTTCTATCTTTATGTAATGTTTTTTGTTTTTTTTAATACCTTATATTTGGTTTATTATAATATTGCAACTATTACAGGAATTAATGGTGGAACATTTTTTACAGCTTGGTTATAACTGTTTTATACTAGTTTCTAGAAACTGCCAGTACTCATTTTAAGCCTAGTTATATCAAACACAGTTCAACATTGGTGATAGTAGAAAGTTTCAGCCAAAATAAAATCTTGTTAGTTGCTTTATCTAATAAAACATTATAGAGACGTAGTACCGCCTGAGCGTATTTTTTACATTAATACAGCGACATTTAATAAGCACGGCTACGATTTATATCCTTTTGATTTTTTATACGTACCATAAACACTTTATAGGTCTGTAGTTTATACAACTGGTAAAGCATTATTTTTGTTACAATAGAAAAAATCACCAATGTGGCTATAACTGAAAATTGTGGACCTTATTTAGTGCTCAAAGTGACGGGGTATACGGAAATATGGCATACCCCCACTTCTTAAAAAACAAACTATCCGTTCCACCACCGTTTCTTTTTTATAAAGTGCGTCCCGAGACGCCCACCCATTGAGATCTACCAAACGCCTTGCTCCTACTTATTTTTACTACTTTGAGCACTGACCCTATTACAGTATATATTATAAGATATGGTTACATCTACTAATGCTTGAATTTATTCCATTGAAAATTGACATTTCAGTAGTGTACGCAGGTGATAATTTTATTTCAACTGGATTTTAGAAACAGGGGGTGGGAGGGTAAGTATAATTTTATTTGTAAATATTGCCTGCAAATGTCTACACTTTCTCAACGACTGTAGTATTAACCTTGCCCAGAAGAACATTTTTCTTTCAGTCTATAACTTCACAAAAGGAACATCGAAATCAAAACTTAAACCCAATCTCGCGAAACTTACTACACGTGTGTAAAGAAAATGTTTTATTTTCGTGACGTGACACGTATAAGAATATACAGGATGAGTAAACCTCAGTGAGGCATACTCAACCGACTTTTATTTATTATTTGACATGATGCTAAACTAAACGGATATTCAGGGCTGGAAGTACACGAAAGATGTTTTCATTAAAATTAATCGTGACTGTTGTCGGTTGTCTCTGTTTGTATGACAACATTTAGAAGTTTTAGTGATGGAAACGTTGTGATGACGTCAGATCTGTGAAATTTTAATAAACAAAGTCGAGAAAAATAGAGAAATTTAAGTTTCATATATATTTAATTACAGTTAATGTTTCGAGCAACAATGATTAGTTAAAATCTATGTAGATATTTGTTCTGTTTATAGTCGTTTTCTTCATAGTAACTGAATTTATATTATTTTCAGTTGTTGTTTTGTACTTTTTGACTTGTTTTAGTATCTCGTTCATTACGAAGGTGAAGCTATATTAGTTAAACACAAGCTATTGTCAAATATTCTCGATTTTGGTGGCAGACAAAGGAAACTTAGCACAATATTAGTAATTCATTTTACATGTAACTTAGTTTTCGTGTAGACCCTTGCTTAAAGTGGAACACTTTTAAAATAATTCGACACTTACTCTAAATATCTCCGACTGTCTACCCATAGCCCAAGTTTTATGAAATGCATTTCCAAAAATCAGTAATTTGCATTACCTGTTTTTAATGTAAGTAAAACTTTCGGGTAATTTCTAGGTAATGTATGAATAAAATAGCCAAGAAAGCAGAATGTATTTATACTAATTATAATTCGGAACGACATATAAATAAATGCGTTCTGAAGTTGATCTAGCCTAGACCAGGGTAAAAGTTACCGCATCTACCAATACATCTTTGAAACGCACTATGGGCAGTGAGTTTGGTGGGGTTATTTTTATATAAAATTTGGTATTATTCTAGTGTTGTGAATGCTTTAGTTAATTTTCGTTCTGTTGAACTTGAGGCTGTTTCTTATGAGGAGATATTTAAAAAGCATTGTTCGGAACATTTTTGTAATTGAGGCTTTTTGTCTCGAATTAAATATCTTAAATTGTGTAAGATCATAACGGATATATATGAGGTGAAGGGCCCATACGAAATATCTATTCTGCTGTACAGATACTGTATAAGTTGTGTTCGTATAATAAAGTATCCTATATATTTTCCGTTGTGTACATGTTTTTTGCCCCATTAAAATGTGTACTGTAGTCACATTAAGTACAGCTGGGAAAGCATATAAATACACAGTTGAATGATTTGCTCTCCTAAAGTCTAACTGGCTGATCTACAATCCTTGCCAACTAAATTTCAATTAACATACACCATTGCCTTTTAAAAGTCATATGAAAGACACGTGACTCTTGGCTCCTAAAAGTAATTTAAATGACACATAATTCTTTATTCCTAAAGCTCACATGTATGACTCGCAACTTTTGCCTCCTAAAGTTCATATAAATGGTACTAGAATCTCGTCTTGTAAATCCAACTGACTGTTATGAAAGTATAAGGCTCCTACAATTCAAAATAACCCGTTGATACACGATCCTTGTATCCCTACTGACTTTTCAACGGATCTTACCTACTCATTGACATAAGACTTGTTTCCATATTTCTTTTTGAAAGAGATGCAACTGTCTCATAACTCTCTACTTCTGATAAGCATTATTGTATTTTAAGAATGGTATAATTTTATTTTGTAAAATTTCACTTAAAGTAGCACCTCTTCCAGAAAAACTAGACAATTACCAAAATTGATTGCTATAAAAAAAGAAGGTATTCTGTAACATTCTGTTTAGTATCAGAGCCAAAGCTAAGTTACTGCTTATTACTACAAACTTTGAACCAATTATCAGACGAGATATTCTATAAAACTTTTTTGAATGGCTTGTTATAATAAATATGCACTTCAGATCTTTCCACAACTATGTAGCCCATTTCGTTGACATGTTAAGATACTGTCAAAGTGCGTGTATGATTTACGTTATTAAATATCTTGTTCTTTTGACAGTAATGATAAGTTTCAAAAATCGTGTCCTCATTTTATTCTACTGTTTTATATCTAAACCTCTCTAAGATTCTGGTCTTACCAGCTTCTCATTTGCTGCTGCCAGTTTTACCTGCTTAACTTTCTGATACATCCAACTGCCTTATTAGCTTTCTAATACATCCAGTTGCCAGTTTCACTTGCTTAACATTTTTATATATCCAGCTGTCATTTGTACCTTATTAGCTTTTTGATACATCCAGCTGCCAGTTTTACCCATTTCATTTTCTGATGCACCCAGTAGCTGGTTTTATCTACTCCACTTTCTTCCAATCATTTGTTATTTTTAGCTTGCTTACTTTCGATTTTTCTAATTTATCCAGCTACCGCCCAAAGTTTCTAATTTAACCCACACAACACCAACTTTATCCACTTTTATATCTGGTTTTACTAGCTTCAGTCTCGACCGTTCACACTTGTCAACTTTATGCAACTTTTTGTCTGTGGTATTCGTTAATCATCATGCTATTATTGTGACATTGGCTGAATTCACTTTAATAGTATTGTTACGACATCGGGGTCACGTGACGCTAGTAACACGTCATTGACTTCTAGAAATATCCTGTTTTTTC